GTGTCGTGGGCTCAGGGAGCCCTCAGAGCAAGGCCGCCATGGCGGCAATGTTTTGGCTTGCCCGGGCGAAGTGTGGGAGGGCTCCATCACCTTCAATGATCCTTCGGTTCACATCGTGCTCCATGACATGCACACGCCCACCATCTCTGCGGCGCTCAAGCTCCATGCGCTCCTGCTCTAGCTAGAGTCATGCATGCTCGAGCTCCTAGTGTCACGCCCTCAGCTGTTGCACCCGTATGCGAGGAAGGGCCCCTGTATCTTCCTTGGCCTCATCATCGAGGTCGTTTGGTGGGGTAGCCCCTCCCTCGTGGATGCTTTCGATGCATCCCTTGGGGGTACCTACCATAAAACATTCTCGCGAGGAATGATGGTTCCTCCTACTAGAGTCAAAGTCAAAGAGCGACTCTGAATCTTCCGCGAGAAGCTCATGCAAATATTCCATGATGTATTCGGTCATCCTCACGAACTCAGTGTTTACAGGGGATGGGTGCATGCGCTGCGCCATGGGGTGGCCAACGGTCCTCGTAGCATTGCGCAGACCAAATGGGAACGCTGACGGGGCGCTCCGAATGAGGTATTCCGGGAAAGCGGTTCCCCTCCGGCAAACTATGTCATGACATTGGTGAACAAGAAGGTGTGGCAGCGCAGATCCTCCCAAGATGGTCAGGGTCCTAGGATGGCGTCGAGCTAGCACTCTAGCCTCCCATAATCGAAGCCGGGGAGCTGGTCGCTCCTGGGGGCACGAGCCTCCTATGCGTGCAGCTGCAGCTCCTCAAGCACCTCGACAATCGCGTCGAGGCCGGCAGAGTGGAGAGGCTGGACGGCGGTGGGAGCCAGCGCCAACTCTCCCTCCGTCATGACGATGAAGTCTAGGTTCTCAAAGTGCAAGTGCACGCTCGAGACCTAGCTGATGCCATGACTAGCCATTCGAGGCTTGATGTGGATGTCGAGACACACAAAACGCCCCTATCAGGCACGCTAATTGTCGGTGTTTCAAACCACCGACTAGTAAATTTATATCTATGTGTCTGGCCCGGATGGTGTGCTCAGAGGACACAAGGATTTATACTAGTTCGGACAGAATGTCCCTACGTCTAATCTGCTACTGCTCGTGTTACCGGCACTAGTTTGTAGTAGGGGTTACAAACGGGCAAGAGAGCGAGAAGGTCCTAAGTTTCTGGTGAAAGAATTGAACGGAGTTTAGTCTTGTTGAGTTTGTTTAGCTGTGTGCTCGTGCTCTCACGGGGCGTCCTGCTTTCCCTTTTATAGGTGAATGGGAAGGCGTAGGTTATAGGGAGAGAGAAAGAGAGGAAAGGGGAAAAGCGAGGGAGAAGAAGGCCTCCAAGACCATCACGTCCTTCTGTTTCTTCATGTGGGTCCCGACGATACTATAGTTGGTGACGGGGATGGCTCCACGTCGGGCTCCTGTTCACTACTGGTGCCATGCCTCGACATCATCAGCTGGTCATGGCGTCTCATCCCATCCCAGCGGACGGCATGGTGAACCGACGTGCCTGTCAGCGGCCGTACAGGAAGTAGGCAGCACAGCGACCACGCACCCATCACTATTGGCGATGCAAACCCTTGGGCGAGGCCTAACATGGCCATGGGTCATGTCGAGATGTTCCCACTTCCCTCCCGGTATCAGAAGTTTGATCCTGAGGTCATACCCTTAGACCCATAGTGGTTGGAGGTGGTATGGGTCCTCGTTGGGCGAGACGGAGCCCGCGCCCACGCGATCGGGTAGGACAGAGCATGTGCCCTCAGGGTCTGGCGAGACGGCTCCCGTACCCTTGGGGTCGGGCGAGACAGAGCCCGTGCCCTTAGGGTCGGGCGACATAGGGCCCATGCTCGAGGGGTCAGGCGAGACGGAGACCGTGCCCTCAGGGTCGGGTGAGACGGTTCCCGTACCCTTGGGGTTAGGCAACATGGGCCCGTGCCCAAGGGGTCTGGCGTGGCGGAAACTGCCCCTTTGGGGTCGGTTGAGACTGAAATACGTCCTTCATTATCTAGGTGAGTTTTTTGTCTGTGGTCCTTAGATCCCTTCGTCGGGTATCCCTAATATTGATTTCCGACACGCCTCTCAAGCTAACAAGCTAGCTCTACGACTAACATACTAGGCTATGTATCCACGTTGTCGAGTAAGGCGTCGTTTCCCAGAAAATGTTTTGTTTTACAATCCCAAGGTGTTTTGGCATTTGATCGATTAAACATATATATATTTGAACTGGAACTCATTTAGCTACTTTAGCAAACTAATTATTATGGAGTTACAAAAATTACAATGAGCACCTAATAGTGTTAAGAATTTTATGTGAAAGTTTCAGAGACAACACTATCACCAATTTATCACAATAATTCCAACAAGTTTATGTCTTAACCATATTAAGCATCCCGAATTACTTAAATAGCTCCTGAAAATACTATGAACTATGTTAACAAGATATACTGGCAGATAGAGCATGATTTTAGGAACCTAACAAAATTGGTTTCACAATTTTTGGACAGGTACATTAATTGCTATTGAATCTACAAGTTCCTAGTAACAAAGAAAAAGGAAAAACAATTAGGAAATACATTTTAAAAGGCAATGGACCAGTGCCAACCATTCGGCCCAACGACGGCCCAGGGCGGGGAGTCCACGCGCACGCAGCTCTTTTGCAAATGAGACCCTGATCTTTTCTAAAACTACGTCGCCGTTTGTTTATATTTCCCTCTTTCTCGGACTAATTCATTTCACCCCTGGCTTCTTCCTAATTTCCCCACGCACGTCCCCGAACTAGGACGCGCGGCGGCGCGGCGAGCACGGGTACCGAGCGGTCACGCCGGCCATCTAGGGTTCGCACGGACTTACCTAGAGGGTCGATCGCAATCCCCGACCTAAGCGGCTACGCTGGGTGGCGGTGGAGAGCTGGAAGGCGCTCTAGCGCATGCTGCAGCAGCGAGCAGTGGTGTACGGCGGTGGCACAGCCGTTTCAACGAACTAGAGCAGCTACCAGCCTATACAGTTAATGATTGAGCAGCAGGGGCTTACTGCAAACCTGGCAGTGGTGATGGTTCGACCGGGGACGCCCCAAGCAAGGCTGGCCACATACACGTGGCGAGCTCGGTGATGAGCCGCTGCGGACACGGCCTCGTCAGTGGTGTCGGGGAGGCGGTAACTGTTCCACTAGCGCGCGTAGGGTGGAGAGGGATTCAGGATGAGGCCATTGATTCTGCTGGTTGAGCCTGAACGGCAGGGGGCAACGCCATCGGGTTGGGCCAACAGCGGCGCAGAGGCGCAAGGGGGAAGCACGGACACGACGCGAGGCAGGCAGAAGACAAAGGCGGGTGGAGGGCAAAGGTGGGGCAACACGGTAGAGAGGCGGCACAATGCAATGGGGGGGTGCCGAGGCCATTGGCCAACAAAGAAGCGCCATGAGCCTGAGAGATGGCTGCCACGGCCACGCCATGCGGCCAAAGCTAAGGTGGCCCCACCAACCTATTGCCACGCGCACACCGAAACACGCACTCCAGTCCGAACGGCCAGACAACGTGCTATGCACGAATTTTAAAGCGTTAAAACCAACCGCTTAGAGCCCAGTTGAGATTAAAACCCGTGCTCAAGATTCTAGTATACCCTAAGGGCTTCTCATCTGAACAACGAGCATAGCCGAGCGTGAGCATCGAGGGAGATAGAGAGGTGCCAACGGGGGTTCGTCACGCTGAGCGCTGGTTCATAAATGGAGCGCCCACGACATGATCTAGCGCGTTCCTACAAAGTTTGGGAAATTTTTAAGAGGGCAACGTGACACCCAACCCTAGTACAACCTATACCATGCCCAAGTACCCACTTAGAGGCAATCAACAATACGAAAACATAAAGCTAGTGTTTAAACATTTTAGTTAGAATTTAATTGCCAAAATAACATTGTCTACGATCCTTTTCAGACAGGAAAAAGGCAAGGGTTCATAAACGACCATTAACACTTTTGCCATAATTTTTAAAATGTCTAAACCTTATTAACTTCAACGAACAAGTATTTTATGCAATAATTTATACTCCATACCAACCCATAGGAATAGATTATTTAAGTACTCTTTAATTATTTTGCTCGATATAATTCGCCAAAAATGGTACTTTAAACAATAGTTCAAGTGTTTGCCGACTTAACAAAAAGGCTTATCTTAATTTCATATTTGATCTTTGAGCTCTCCAGAATAATAATTAACAACATATGTTTTCAAGAATTAAAGTTGCATTTTTCACTATAGCACTTGCTCACCATCTTCACATAAGCACTATACACAAGTCATATTTTATTTTGTTTACATAAATTATTTTTCATACCAAATAATTAACTACTTATTTTATTCTTTTTGTTAGGATTTCCATAGTATTCTTACCCACTGAGTAAATTAACTTAGATTTTATTTGATTTCCCTCAACCATAAAGGTAGGTCTCACAGGGTTTGTTTATCATTTCATACGTGATTTAAAATTTTTCAACTCGAGAACTTATTTTGCTAATTTTCCTAAGACCTTAACATAGGTGCTAAGCAAGCTCGTAACACCAAATGTGTTACACGTGCCCTCCCCCCCCCCCTCCGCACAGTGAATTTTTTAAATACCTATAAAAAATTCAATTGCAAAGTAAAAAAGTTACTATTTCACTCTTTTTTAGGATAAATATTGTATTTTTTGTTATGAGTACTAAATATATATGTAAAAACGTTGATAAGCTATCCAGACATATTTATTGTACATATTTTTTAGGTTTACAAGATGTCTTTGTATTGTCCGGCCCCTCTTAATTAAAAGTTCTGGTTCCGCCACGGCTAGCTTCCAACCATCATGTCCAGGCTTAGATCGCGTGAGAATGAAAGGGAGTGAGTGCGAGAGCCGAGCAATAAGGAGGTGGGTGATTTTTTGACACAAGACCTTCAGGTTGGCATGTGCCTAGAAGGTTCACGAACAGGTCTATCGGCTTGAATTGAATTAACGTGTGACTTGATTCGACCTAGAATTGTAGATTTTTGCTGCTATAATACATCATGCCTTGAGCCAATTTATAAAAAACTGAACTGAACTATAAAGAATTATTGTTTTGACAAAAAAAACTATGCAGAATTATAATACAGAGGTTTTGGACCGCGGCTAGTGGCAATAGCCGTGTATCCGCCCGATTTCAGATCAGGAATACGAGGCTTCCTTTCAGCGAGCGACAAGAAGAAGGGATTGACAAGTACACGTCGGACGAGAAGAAGGGATTGACAAGTACGCGTCGGACTGTCGGTGCAACAAAATCTGATGAAATGCCGTCTTGTCTGTGCCACCGAGCATGAGACGGACTCGTACCTTGCAATGAAAGAAGCAGTGAGTTCCCGACTTCCCGTGGTCCAGCCCGCGCTATCCTAAAGGTCTGTTTAGATTAAAAAAAATTTGTGCAGTATCCATCACATCGAATCTTGCGAGTTCCCGTGACTTCCTAACTACACAGTTGGTCCAGCCTTTCAAACCTAATTAGTCCATAATTAAACACTAATTGTCAAATATAAACAAACGAGCTACAGTATCCAAAACCAAAAAATTTTGGCATCTAAACACGGCCTAACTTCCACTAGTACCAGAAATTTCGTCCAAATTGGTTTCCATCTCAGCATCATTCTTCAATTCCACCACCTTATCATTTCCATTGTTCGATCTAACCATTTCAGCATCTACAATTACCCTACCAACCCGCCGCCGCCTCTCCTCATGGTCGTCCTCGTCGGGAGCGAACTCGGCGATGACGTCGTCCACGATGCTGTCGGCGGCCAGCGCCAAGCTCTTGGCGCGGTCGCTGCCGGGCCTCTGAAATACCGAGGATGTGAACATAGAGGAGATCTGCTGGATGGCGTCGGAGGCGTGGATTTCACCGTTGCGGACGGCGCGGAGTTGCTGGAGCACGGCGGTGCGCCGTGATGCCTCCGTGCCCCGGGAGCGCGTGCAGCGGCCGTCCTCGACGTAACCGAGCCCGTCGTCGTCGATAATCAACTCGCCGGCTTCCTTGCGGCGGCGAGCAAAGAGCGCGTTGTACTCCTCTTCCGGGACGGTGTCGTGATCGGGCTGTCAACCTTCACCTGTATGGCGTCGCGGATTTCACCTCTGCGGACGGCACGGAGTTGGTGGAGCACGGCGGTGCGCCTCGACGCCTCCGCGCCCCGGGTGCGCGTGCGCGTGCGTGTGCGGCGGCCGTCCTCGACGTAACCGAGCCCGTCGTTGTCGATGATGAACTCGCCGGCTTCCTTGCGGCGGCGAGCGACGAGAGCGTTGTACTCCTCCGGGACGGTGTCGTAGATCAGTGCATCAACCTTCACCTGGATGGCGTCGGAGGCGCGGATTTCACCTTTGCGGACGGCGCGGAGTTGCTCGAGCACGGCGGTGCGCCCCGACGCCTCCGTGCCTCGGGTGCGCGTGCGGCGGCTGCAGCCGGAGCCAGCGGCGTCGGTGGGTGTGCAAGCCATGTGACTAAGGTCCTTTCACTCCTAAACTTTAGTCATATGAACCTGAGCTAAACTTTAATCACTGGGTATTTAGTTTAAGTGACTAAGGCCCCTTTTGAATTAAAGCTGCTAAACTTTTAGTCAACCCTATTTAGTTTGGTAGACTAAAAGAGACTATAAGAGGACTTTTAGTCCTTTTTTAGTCAGGGTGTTTAGATCCAAAATGACTAAAAAGCAAGGCAGCTGGGCTTTAGTCCCATTTAGGAACCCCTGGTGACTAATTAGCTATAGTCTCATTTAGTCACAGTATTTGATAAAAAGTGACTAAATGGGACTAAAATTAGTCAGCTAAACTTTAGCAACCCAAATCAAATACCAAAATAGGCCTTTTAGTCCCTTTTAGTCAGGGTATTTGACTCAAAGTGACAAATACTATGACTAAAAGGTGAGGTTTAGTCCCCTTTAGTCCCTTCTAGCCACAATTCAGTGACTATTCCATCCGGTCCATTTAAACTTTAAATACACGCATATGAAGATTTAAACTTTAAAAACTTTGATCAATAATTAAGCTAATAAATTTTAGCTATTATAATACAAACTTTATATGATTAGATTTATATGGAATTATACTATCAAATGATTATAAGTTTATAAGCATAAATAATATAATACAAAGCAAGTAAGTGATCAAAGTGTAATATAGGAGACCGTATCATTCTAACTTGCGCCAGATAAAATGGACCGGATGGAGTACGCCCTATTCGCTTGGCTTATAAGCCGTACTTTTTCAGCCAACGAACGATATTTTTCTCTCACAACAAATCAACCAACAGTACTTTCAGCCATAGCTTATCAGCCAAGCGAACAGGGTAGTAGTTGGCTGAAGCCCATTTAGGTGGTGTTTGGATTTCATGGCAAAACTTTAGTTCTACATTTTTAGCCTATTTTTTTTTACATGGGGATCAAACAGGTGGAATAAAAGTGAATAAATGGGGTGGACTAAAGTTTTGCCCATTTGCTACTCAAGTGGTGCAAAACTGGGCTAAAACGTCTTGGCGGGCGCACTGGACACCAGATAGCCCCCACCCACCCACCTGCGTCCTCTCTCTCCCATGGCTTAATTAAATGATGGTAAATCAGTCATTGTAGGATGGAGAACTAAACTTTTGTCATGGATCCAATCACCTCCTGCTAGACAAAAGTTTAGCAGCTAAACTTTTGCCATGGCAAATGAATCAAACAGGATAGTCCTATTTAGCTATAGTGTATGTATAAAAATGATTAAATGGAATTAGATTTAGTTGACTAAATTTTAGAGGGGCTAACCAAACATGCCCTCTTTTTCTCTCTCTTTAACGCAGGCGCGCGCACAAATTAGGGATCTATATTGCAAATGCTAGCGGGCAGGTTTGGTGGGAAGGTGTTCGAGCATTTGGCGCGTAGAATTAGGTGCGCCGTGCGCGTCAAGCTCTAGGGTTTTTCCATGGAGGGTGGAAGACGTCGTCGATCCAAAGTGTTTTTTTTTTAGTGGAACGTCGATCCAAAGTGGAGGACAAGCAATTGAGCATTTGAACATTTGAGTGGGCTTCATATGGATGCGACGGAATGGGCTGTTTTCCCCTTCCCATTGGCCCACATATCAGGCCCTTACCTTCCACCATCTTTTGAGGGCTCACAGGCCCACCCGGCGACTGTATTTCATGTTCAGACAAACGTACCTCTTCCCCTCAAAAAAAGAAAGAAAAAAAAAAGACAAACGTACCTCTTGATTGCGGCGATGCATCCATGGATGCAGCAAAGACCGAAGAATCTTCCTTTTGTGTACAGGGTAGCATCGCATCTTGGATACAGCAAAATGAATAATGTTCCTGTATGTGGTATACGATTACCACGATGTGCTGCGTTTATCATGCTGAGGAGAACGACAAGCAACACTGCGAGAGAATTCGCGGGCTTTACCGGACCGCGCAAAAGCTCCATCGATGCAGTGGTAGTTGTTTTACACCAAACCTACTTTGAAAGAAAAGGAGAGCAAAACCCACGCATGAAAACCCTCTACTAAGAACTAAAACGAAAATCATCCGGTCCGAACAGCCGGACCGGAGCAGTGCACCAAATGGAGCCCGGGAAAAGTACACTGGAGGCGGTGTGCGCAACAGTGCACGGGATGCCGCAGGTACGTAATGTTTTCTTATTATTTTCTTGTTTATTTTTCCTTTCCTTTATTTTTCTTTTATTTTTTTATTGTTTTATTTCCTTGTTTCTATTTAATTTTCCTTTCTCTTTTCTTTTTAGTTTTCTGTGTTTTCATTCTTATTATTTCCTTTCCTTTTCTTATTTTTTTGCCTTTTGTTTTTCTTTTTTCTTTTTGATTTATTTTTATTGTTTTTCCTTGCTTCTATTTATTCTCCCTTTTTCTTTTCTTTTTAAGTTTTCTATGTTTTTTCATTCTTATTTTATTTTTCTTTCTTTTTGATTTTTTCCATCCTTATTTAAGTTATTCATTTATTTTATTCGTTCTATATATATAATTTGTTAATCATATTTCTATGTGTATTTTCCTTCTTTGTTGTTTTACTCTAATTAATTATTTTAATAATTTTATTTATTTTATTTTTCTATGTGTATATGTGTCCGTGTGATTTTTATGTCGTATATATTTAATGTTCTATGTTGTGTTTTATCATGTTCACGTAGTATACATTTGATGTTCTATGATATTTTTATGTTGTTCACGTAGTATACATATGATGTTCATTTAGTATACATGTAATGTTCTATAATATTTTTGTGATATTCACTTAGTATACATGTGATGTTCTATGATAATTTAGTAATGTTCACATAATATATATGCGATGTTCTATAATATATTTTGTGAAGTTCTATGGTGTAGTTAGTGATGTTCACTTAGTATACATGTGATGTTCTATAGTATATTTTTTTTATGCATGTGATGTTCTTTTAAATTTTTCTCTATTACATGTTTTATTTTTTCCCTATGGTTTGCTCTATATTTTATTATTATTTATTTGTGCTGTGTATTTATTTATTTATTTATTTTTATATATATTACAATACATATTTTATGAATCTAAAACTAGAATACCGTTCTTCTAAACTGAGAACATTTTTCTTATAAAGACGGAACATTGTTCTCTGAACCTAGAACATTGTCTCTGCTCAATAAAAGAAAATATTATATCCTTATGAGATAAATGTTCGTGAATAAAATTTAATTTAAATATATTCATGTGGGATCTTGTTTTGAAGGATTTATTGCAAGAAATAAGATGGTGCAATCGAAATTTAATTTGGATGCTTGTTTAGCAGTTACGACTTCTTTTTACTTCAAAAAAGCATTGTACATGTTGATGTTAGCAATCTACTCAGCCTCAGTTGGTGCGCGGGAAAATTATTGCTGGTGCGCACGCCTCGCTGCCACAGCCTCGTTCGGCGCGTGGTTATTGTCCGATGCTCGGACGGTAGCAACCCCCGAACTAAGATGATAACTAAAATGCCAGCCCCTAGATTACCCACCCAGGAAAAGTCCGGCATCCTAGAGGGATTGGAGTTTCCAGAATTTTGAGATAGCAGTATACCGACAGCATGAGTACATTTACCGACAGCGTGCAAAGGTTCAAGCCTACAACTACAAGCCTTCACTCAGTCGGAGGACAAATACCAAGACACTAATTTCTTGGATCGTGTGCCAACTTTTACTTCTTTTCATTGAGGTTCGAGCCCCCTTATATAGATTACGGTTACACACATTTTCACGTATACATTTACCATTGCCAGTTGGAGCATATTCCAGCATATTCTTCTATTTATAGTGTACAACATGTCAGGGGCTCTAGCAACTTTTACATATGCAATCACCTTCCCTAATGGGCCCTTGTTTAGCCTAAGCCCTGGCCCATCAGGCAGTCTAGCCCAACCAAGGCGCCTTCACCACGAGGATCGCTCCCCTAGGCAAGCGAAGGGTTGGCAAATCTTGATCGCTCACCATCTTCGATTTTCTTATTGGAGGCCCCTGATTTCGTAGATGAAAGCTTGTTCCGTTGTTTCCTTTTGAAACGTGTTCTAGGGCCCTCATGACCTTGCTGCAAGGGCTCCAATCCGTTGACCTTCGACGAAGGTCTACCCAAACCTTCGGCATCGGTTCCCTGGTTGGTCCTTCGCTTGCTCTTGGACCTTCGAGTCTGCGTTCATGAGCTTTATGAGATACCATTAGATATGGTTAGTGAACCTTTGGACGCAAACCTTCGCTCCCCAAGCTCCCCCTTCGAGGGTAAGGTTTGCGTTGCAGTGTTCAAAAGACCGGTCGGGAGTTTGACCGTGACGTGGCAGAAGTTGGTCCATCATTTGGGCTACTATATAAGGTGGGGGTAGAACGAAGGTACCCCCACCGTTTTCATCGTAGTAGCCTTCGCTTGTCGCGTGCAGAGGTGGCTTATCTTTCGGGGTGTGGCCTTTGGCGTGAAGTGCTCGGCATCAAAAGTGAGGATTACACTAAGGTTATTAGTGAGTTTCTGATGGCTAGTGCGTGCTAATAAGCAAAAGTCTTTCTAGAAACCAATGTGTCTTTCAGATGATTAAGTTCGGAGATACGGTAAGCAATTATTTATGCTCCATTTCAACCATTTCAATTAATATAGACCTCTAGCCATGCACATATCACCGGTGTGACTATCTTCTGTGCAGCAAACGCGCCATCTAAAGTGTTATTGTTCCATGGGGCTCCCGCAGGTAGGGGGCTTGAGCCCCCATAGCACCTCATGTTGGATCCACCCCTGATTGTTCCTCTAACACAATGCTGGTATTTTCTAAAGGGCTCTCACTGTTAGTTAGTTAGTTAGTTAGTTAGGCCATTGAATATCTACTGTTGAAATCTAATCCAAAGTCTAGAGATTAGAATATGACATGGCCTGATCATTTGTTTGAGCTTGGCTTAGATAATGTAGAGAAGGTTTTTTAGCAGAATGTAGAGAAGATTAGTTATCAGACAAAAATAAACT